CCCGCCAGCGGGGACAAGCGGGGGCGAGGCGGAGGGAATCCCCAGAGCGGCCCGGAGGCGGCGGGGCCGGTGCCAGCGCGGAGAGGAACCGGGGCAGGCTGCCAGGCTGGCACGGGCACCGCGGGGACGCGCCACCGCCCAGCGCCCCCGGTGCCACCAAGAGTCACGGGTGACCCCTCCGTCGGGACATCCCGCCCCAAATCTCTCCGGGAGCTGTCCCAGGAGCTGTCGCAGCCCCCGCGACACCCACACACCCACCCGCGGAGGGCGCGGGGCCCGCGGGGAGCGGCCCGGGGCAGGGGAAGCGCTTTGAAGCGCGGCCCCGCCGCAGGATTGCTGCCTCATTAGAGAGCAATTACCGACTAATTAYGAGATGGCAACACCCAAACCCGATCGGGAAATGGGGCTGATGGGTGCCCGCGGCTGCGCGCGTGTACAGGCGCACACATCGCATCCCACCCTAAAAAATGAAAAAAAAACAAAACCTCGGGAGCGCTCTGGAGCAGGGATGGGACGCGTCACGGGAGGTCACCGGCGCTAATTCCCACCGTGCTGGCTCCGTGCCTCAGTTTCCTTCTTTAGGGTTACTTATCCTGCTTGCAGCCTCTCCCCTGAGGGATCTGACAGCTCCAGCCCYGCCTCCCTGCACCCCAAAATCCCCCAGAGTGGGGGATCTTCATCTCGTCGCTATCCAGCCCCATTGAGATGCTCCAAGGAGAATGAGAATGGGGTTTGGGATGGTCCCAGGGAATGGGGTTTGGGATGTTCCCATGGGAATGGCGTTTGGGATGCCCCACTGGAATGGGGTTTGGGATGTTCCCTTGGGAATGGGAATGGGGTTTGGGATGGTCCCAGGGAATGGGGTTTCGGATGCTCCCATGGGAATGGGAATGGGGTTTGGGATGCCCCATGGGAATGGGAATGGGGTTTAGGATGCCCCACTGGAATGGGGTTTGGGATGCTCCCATGGGAACGGGAATGGGGTTTGGGATGGTCCCAGGGAATGGGGTTTCGGATGCTCCCATGGGAATGGGAATGGGGTTTGGGATGCTCCTATGGAAATAGAAATGGGGTTTGGGATGCTCCTATGGAAATAGAAATGGGGTTTGGGATGCTCTGAGGGGAATGGGGTTTGGGATGCTCTCAGGGGAGTGGGAATGGGGTTTGGGATGCTCTCAGGGGAATAGGAATGGGGTTTGGGACGGTCCCAGGGAATGGGGTTTGTGCTGCTCCACTGTCCCTCCCGAGCCTGCTCCCACCAGGGCCAGGGTTTGGTGGCACCTGGAATGGGGTCACCGTGCCACGCCGGGGGCAGCACAGCCCYGCTTTCTGCCACCCCATATCCCGGGAACCCGCGGCTCCTGAGGGCAGGCGAACTCTGACCCCATAAATGCCATTCCTGCGGGCTCCCTGTTATCTGGGGCGGGCCCGTCTGCAGCCAGAGAGGCCACCAAGGACACCGGGGAAAGGGGACAGCACACCAGGAGCGGCCAGGAGCGGGACTGTCSCCACCATCACCCATCGCTGGGACATTCGGGACCCTCACGGGGACAATGCGGGGACATCCAGCCACCGGCTCCAAGGTCACAGCGATCGCAGGGAGCGGGGAGGGGACGCGGGGGGACGGCGACAGGGCACGGGAAGGGCGGGGCTGGCACCTGCGGGCGCTCGGGGAGAGACGCGGAACGAATCCCGCGGGAAATCATCACCATCACCGCCGGCCCCGCGCTTCACACGCAGCTCCCGAACTCCCCTCATCTCCCTGACAGGCGGGAGAGCAGCTCCGGGCGGCCCCGCCAAAGGTCACCGCGTTTGCACATCCGCAAAAAAAGGCGTTTAGAAACAGCAATGAAAAGGAACGGGGAGAGGAAAAAAAAAAAAAAAAACAAAACAACAACAACACAAAAATCCTCCTTTCGCGTGGAAAACGGGGAGATCGGCACCGGGAAAATCAACGCAGGGACCCCCAGCCCCCCGGGTTTGGCACGGGGGAACGAGCTCTGGAATAATCAGAGAAAGGGCAGATTTGTATCTCCGGATTTGCCTGAGCTTTCCGGGCCCCGAGGCTGCGATCGCCTTTTCAGATTCTCCGGAAGAATAAAGGCTGGAAAATCGCTTTCAATCCATCGAGCACACGGCTCCGGGGGGAATTCGGGGGTCCTGCGGCCCCCCGAGCAAACGGGGAGCAGAGCTGAGCCCCTGGGGTGCTGTGGGACGTGAGGGAATCGGTGCAGGGGGACACGGGGACACGGGGACAMGGGAYGGTGACTCCAGGGATGAAAAGGRACAGCGGGATGGGGAGCGGGAGCTGAGCCGCCTCCGGGTGCGCTCTCCAGGGATGCTGAGGCCKCCCGGTTCCAGCCGTGCCCTTCCCAGCGAGGTCTGGCTGCCCCCGGCCTCATCCTGTGCCCACAAAAATCACAGCCCTGCCCAAAACCCAAACGGTTTTTTCCCCAATTGGAAGCGGGTCCCCATAAAGCTGGCAAAAATCACCTCGGAGAGGGGCAGAGGTGGCACAGCGGGAGGGGAGGATGGGGTGGGACACCGGGACCACGGTGAGATGTGGCCAGGGCCGCCCCCGCCAGCCCCACAGAGCCATCGGAGCCCCTGGACACTGCTTGGTCCTGATTGTCCCCAGCCCTGTCCCCAAGGATCGCCAGCACCTCATCCCTCACCTCAGCTGCAGCTCAGCACCCACCACGATGGGTCCTGGCCCTCCAAAACCTTCCTGGAGGTCTCTCCAAACCTTCCTGGACTTCCAAAACCCTTCTGTGGGTTCCTCCAAACCTTCCCAGACCTCCTAAAGCCCTCTGGGTGATCCTGAAAACTTTCCTGGAGTTCCAAAACACTTCTGTGGYTTCCTCCAAACCCTTCTGARCTTCTAAAACCTTCCTGGAGGTCCCTCCACMCCCTCTTGGACCTCCAAAACCCTCCTGGGAGTTCCTGCAAACCCTCCTGGCCCTTCAAAACCCTTCTGCGTGTCCCTCCAAACCTTTCTGACCCTCCAAAATCATCCTGGGGGTCTCTCCAAACCCTCCTGGCACTCCAAAACCTTTCTGTGGCTTCCTCCAAACSCTTCTGAACTTCTAAAACCTTCCTGGAGGTCCCTCCAYACCCTCTTGGACCTCCAAAACCCTCCTGGGTGTCCCTYCAAACGGTCCTGGGGGTCCCCCTGAACCCTCCTGGTGCCCAGCCCGGGSTGGGGTGAGGCTGCTGGGGGCAGTGCCAGTGCCATGGAGTTTCCAGCTGTTCTGCCCAGCTGTGCCAGGRCTCTGCCAGGGGGCACGACCCCTCCCCACACTCACCTGGCCCCCAGCAGCCGCCCAGCTCCGCGTTCCAGGCGCTCCGGGRAGCGGTGCCGAGCCCGGGGCTGATCCCCGCGGGACAGGCCGGGCAGGGCTGCGAGGCGGCCGGGGCTGCTCGACTGGTCCCGGCTGTTCCACCGGGAGCCAGGCACGCACCGGGGCCCGACCCACGGCACGGCATCCCCGGGGCTGCGGGACCGCGCCGCTCCCGGCCCGGCTGCGCACGGACAGGGATCTCCCGCTCAGCCCGGCCGCCGTGTCCCCGAGAAATGCAGCGGTCACATCCCCCTTTTTGTCGCCTGGACGCGTGGTCCAGGCCTCGGTGTCACCGAGCTGCCGGAGCCGCTGCCGGCGTTACGTAAGGAAAGCTCGGAGGGGGAAAACGCCGGCTCCGCATTCTGCAGCAGGCGCGGAGGAACAACAGCAGCAGGAGCGGCTGGAATATGGGTGCGGGAGCTGCGGGGGGATGCGGGATGTTCCCTCCGCTCCGCCACCGCCGGGACAAATCCCGGTCCCAATTTCAGCCCCCCGGGAGCGGGGACACGCCGGGGATGGCGAGGGACGGCCCGCGGGGTGGCAGAGGGCAGCGGGTGACCCGCGTCAGGTCCTGCCTCCCTGCTCCGAGAACAAAGGGATGGATAGTCGGGAATGCCCGGGGGACTCGGGGGCTCGGAGCAGCTGCGCGGCCACCGCGGGGCTGGGAGAGCCGGCGGAGCGTTTGGGATTTGGAGAAATCCGGCAATCTGCCAGGGTGGAGGGGACAGGGAGATGGGCAGGGGGGAAAAGACATGGAGGGATCACGGAATCGGCACGGGAATTGTGGAAATAACACGGGAATTGTGGAAATAACACGGGAATTGTGGACACAGCACGGGGGGATCACGGACACGGCACGGGAATTGTGGACAGGGCCCAGGGGATCACGTACACAGCACGAGGGGATCACGGACAGGACCTGGGGATCACAGACACGGGAATTATGGAAACAACATGGGAATTGTGGACACGGTGTGGGGGAATCACGGACACGGGAATTATGGAAATAACACGGGAATTGTGGACACGGCGTGGGGGGATCATGGCGCGGGAATTATGGACACGACACGGGAATTGTGAAAACAGCACGGGAATTATGGACACAGCACGGGAATTGTGGAAATAACACGGGAATTGTGGACACAGCACGGGGGGATCACGGACACGGCACGGGAATTGTGGACAGGGCCCAGGGGATCACGTACACAGCACGAGGGGATCACGGACAGGACCTGGGGATCACGGACACGGGAATTATGGAAACAACATGGGAATTGTGGACACGGTGTGGGGGAATCACGGACACGGGAATTATGGAAATAACACGGGAATTGTGGACACGGCGTGGGGGGATCATGGCGCGGGAATTATGGACACAACATGGGAATTGTGGGCACATCACGGGGATCACGGACACAGCACGGGAATTGTGGAAATAACACGGGAATTATGGACACAGCACGGGGAGATCGCGGACAGGACTTGGGGGATCACGGAGCCGGCGTGGGGGGATCACGGACACGACACGGGAATTGTGGAAACAGCATGGGAATTATGGACACGGCGTGGGGGGATCACGGCACGGGAATTATGGACACAACACGGGAATTTTGAGCACATCACGGGTATCACGTGCAGCTCACGAACAGGCCCCGGAGGATCACGGATACAGCACGGAAATTGTGGAAACAACACGGGAATTGTGGAAACAACACGAGAATTGTGGTCAGAGCACGGGGGGATCACGAACAGGGCATGGGGGATCACGGACACGGCACGGGAATTGTGGAAATAACAGGGGAATTGTAGAAATAACACGGGAATTGTGGAAATAACACGGGAATTGTGGACAGGGCCCGGGGGATCACGGAGCCGGTGTGGGGGGATCACGGAGCCGGTGTGGGGGATCACGGACAGGACTTAGGGGATCACGGAGCCGGCCCCATCCCCAGGCGCCCGGCCCATCCCCGGCCCGCGGGCTGTTCGGAGCGGGGCGTCTGTCGCCGGCCTGCCAAGCACACACAAAAGGCGTCTCATTATCCCCTAATTAGTGCTTTGCCAGCTCCTGCAATTAACACCCGTGCAGGCGGCTGCTGTTGAGGTAAACAGAGCGTTTGAAGAACCCTCGAGAGCCGGGGGTCCTGGCGGGGTGGAGACCACCCATGGGCGCAAGCCGGTGGGACCCGGACAGGGAACAGGGACACCTTCCACTGTCCCAGGGTGCTCCAAACTCCGTCCAACCTGGCCTTGGGCACTGCCAGGGATCCAGGAGCAGCCACAACCACTCTGGGAACCCTGTGCCAAGGCTTGACCGCCCTCACAGGGAACAATTCCTTCCCCAGATCCCATCTCTCCCTGCCCTCTGTCAGCGTGACCCCATTCCCTGTGTCTTGTCCCTCCATCCCTTGTTCCCAGTCCCTCTCCAGCTCTCCTGGAGCCCCTTTAGGCCCTGGAAGGGGCTCTGAGCTCTCCCTGGATCCTTTTCTTCTCCCGGTGAACACTTCCATCTCTCCCAGCCTGGCTCCAAGCTGCCCTTGGAGCACCTCCGTGACCTCTGGACTCGCTCCAGCAGCTCCACTTTCTCCCCAAACGAGCCCCGTGAGTCAGGAACGGCCGGGGTTGGACTCCGGGCCGCGGGTGCTGCCCAGGGGGTGGCCGAGCCACACATCCCCCCCCCTCAGGTGTTTATTCCTTGGGAACATCAAAGGGACAGCCCGGGAATTAAACGGCCTTTCTCCGCCTGACCCAGAAACGCGGATCAAGAGCTGCCTCATCCCTTAATTGRGAAGTTGGTGACTTTGAATCTTTATTAAAGAGCTTTAGTGAGTTCGCAGATTAAGGGCACAAGCGGCCGCTGCCACCGTCCAGGCTCATTCCCGGCCCCCATCCAACCTGCATCCCCGCATGCCGGAGCCACCTCGCCCCGCAGCCGCTGCTCCGGAGCCTTTTCCCAGCTCCAGCCACGCTCTGGAGCTCGGAATGAGCTCTGGAGAAGCCATGAAAAGGCTCCCCGTGCTGCTGCAGCTGCCGAGTGAAAACTGGAACCAAACCCAATCCACGATAAAAAYCAGCAGAGCGCCGATTTGCTCGGGAATAAACCCATTCCCGAGGTATTTTCCAGCTCGGGATGGTGGAAGGAGCAGGCAGGGCTGGAAGGGGGACACCACACGTGCCCCTTCCCTCCTTCCCGCAGGTTTCCATCTGCTCGGCAGCTCCAGGACAAGCAGGGATGTTTTTATTTTGGAGCCCGCGGGGTAGCGGGCAGGGGCAGGATTACCCCGGGTGGGCGTCGAGCCGCGAATCGCGGGGAGCAGCGGGGCTGGAGAGGAGGCAGCGCGCTCCTCAAGGCGCGATCGCTGCCTGCTGCTGCGGATGATGGTGTTTTTCCGAGGAAAACAGGAGTGGGGGATGCTACTACCGGCGCCTGGGAGAGAGGGAGAGGGAAAGGGAGAAGGAAGGAGAGAGAGGAGCAGCGCCGGAGCCGGAGCCGMGCGTTCCCTTTTCGCTTCGGGAGAAATCCCCAGCCCGGCTGATCCCCGGGGGCACAGATGGAGCAGAAAACAACCCCTGGCCCTGCCTCGCTGYTTCAGGAGGCCTCGGGGGGATTAAAAAAAAACCCTCAGTGCCCATCTGCGATGGGGTTTGTGCCCGCGGCCAGGCCTGGCAACGGTGTGAGGGGAGTGGGCACCGCGCTGYGGGCACACACATGTGGGCACAAACACACGCGTGTGCGCCTCACCCACAGGGTCACAGCCCACAGCCCACAGCCAGGGCCACGCTGTTGTCCCTTGTCCCTTCCCCACCGGTCAGCGGTGCCCTCGCGGCGTTGGCACCCGGCTCCGCGGGCTCACCCAGGCCGTGCCAGCCATGTCCTTCCCCCTCCTCCTGCCCGTCCCTCCTCTGCCTCGTCCTCGCCAGCCCGGCGGCTGCTCCCGCCGGTTTCTATGGGAACTCGGCAGGAAAACACGGTTTGCAGCGCCAGCCCGATGCCAGCCGTCACCGTGTCACCGCCTCTGCCGGGGGCACCTCTGCGCCTGGCACTGCTTGGGAACCCGGGCACCATCGCCACAGCCCCTGTCCCCCGTGCCATGGGGTGCTGGTGGCCCAGTCCCAGTCCCCTGGGTGCCAGGGGGTCCCCATCGTGGGCTGGGGGTCACCCCCAGACCCAGGCTGTCCATAAAGGCCGGGCTTTKTGCTTCCCGTGGGATTTTTAGCTCAGGAATTTTAATGCCTCGGCCACCMCCTCGCTGGGAGTCCTAATCCTGTCCCTGGGTCCCCAAGGAGGTGGCTCAGGGTGGGTGACAGGCCCAGGTGTCCCCCAGGCGCAGGAGGGAAGGAGCTGCCTTGGGAAGCCTCTGCCGGAGTAGGGAATGGGACAAGAGGGACGGGCACACGTGGGAGCGGGACAGGAACCTCAGAGCGGGATGGGAACCTCAGAGAGGGACGGGAACCTCAGAGAGGGACGGGAACCACTGTCTTGGCACAGAGAGGGACGGGAGCTCCCCTTTGCCGTGAGAAAACACCAGCGGGATCCAGGGGAAGGATCTGGAGCAGCCCCATGCACAAACCGATCCCGGTGTGTGCACACGCGTGTGCCGGGCTGCGCATCTCGGGACGAGCTCGGCGTGGGGGATGCATGGCGGGATTCACGGCGGGATTCACTCCAGGATTCATGGCGGGATTCACTCCGGGGTTCACACCGGCACTCACGGCGGAATTCACACCGGGACTCACACAGGGATTCATGGCAGGATTCACACCGTGATTCGTTCACACCGGGACTCACACTGGGTTGCTCGGCGGGCTGCAGGCAGGATTCATGGCAGGATTCACACCGTGATGCACACCGGGACTCACACCGGGACTCACACCGGGACTCACACCGGGATGCACGGCAGGATTCACACCGGGATTCGTTCACACCCGGACTCATTTACACCGGGATGCTCGGCGGGCTGCAGGCGCTCCCGCAGTCGCGCACACGAGTGGGAGAAAGCAGCGGGGTGCTGCCGATCCCCGGCTGCAGAGCCGCACGCAGCGCCGCAGCCAGCCTGGAGGGATGGATCCTGCAGCAAACGCCAGCCCCGGCTCCCTCCATTCCCGGCCCTCCMCGCAGCCCGGCACGGCCGCCGGCCCCCTCCCCGCTCCCTTCCCCRCACGCAGGGATTACGGAGCGGCTCCCGCGGCCATCTGGAGCGGGGGGCCGGCCCCCCTGCACCCAAGGGACCGCGGCACCGGGGGATGGCAGGGCCAGGTGGCGCGGAGCCCTCGGAGAGCGGCCGAAACCCCGCACGGAGGTGACGGAGTGACCGGTCACCCCCGGCCCGCGGTCAGCACAGGGTCCGCAGCGAGCCCCGGGGGGAGGCCGGTCCGGCCCCTTCCGCTGGGCTTTAATAGACTCGTGGCGTATGAACATCCCCATCATGTGATGAATCGGAGCCTGTTTGCCTCCGATCGGCGAGCGGCGCAACAAAGCTGCGATTGAGGGCTCGGGGCAGCGGCTGCGGCTCGCGGGTCTCCGGCACCGCCAGACACCCCCTCCCCGGTGCAGCGGGGAACCGGAGCGCTGCCCTTCCTCCCGGCCAGGAGGAGGAGGAGGAGGAGGAGGAGGTGGAGGAGGAGGAGGATGGCTCTCCGCTCGCGGCTGGCAGCGAAACGAGCCGCGGAGCCAAGGGAAGGTCTTGGCTTCCCTGGGAAGCGCCAGACGACATCTCTCGTCTCCATCCATCACATCCCGTCCCCGGCCCGGCGCGGGGGCCAGCGGGGCTGGGGGGGTCCGGCCATTCCGAGCCCTCCCCTCTCACCAGGACGGGGTTTGGGGGTGCTGAGCCCGCCAATAGCGGGGTTCCCCCAAAGCCTGAGCGCTGCTCTGACCCTGCTCKGAGCCGGGGCCAAGCCTGGGGGTCCCAGCCCCGGGGGGGCTCAGCCCGCAGCCTTTGGGGTTTTGGGGACACGAACCAGCGCGCAGCACAGAAACAGCGGCGGGGGGACCCCGCTGGTCACCCCAAGCTCGGCGCGAGGGGCAGGGGGCGCAGGGACAGCCCGGGGGGTGCCGGCCCCACAGCGCGCCCTGCTCTGCCCATGGGGCCACAGAGCAGCCACCCCCCTTCCCTAAAAGAGCCCCCCCAGCACCGCTCGCCTCCCGCAGCACCATGAGGGGACGCGGTGAGGAGGAGGAGGAGGAGGAAGAAGAGCGAGAGGAAGCGGAGGAGGAGGAGGGGGAGGAGGAGGAAGGGAGCAGCGCCGGAGGCACTCACCGTGCGGGGCGGGCAGCGGCCGGTCCCCCCCCCGCGTCCTACGGGCGCAGCATCTTCCCGGCCATCCCCAGCCCGAGCCCGAGCCCGAGCYGGAGCGGGAGCCGGAGCCGCAGCCGGAGCTGGGCATGCTCGGGGGCCACCGAGCGGCACGTGACGCCGGGCTGGCACCGAGCGGGGCGGGGGGGCCGCGCCGCCCCCACCGCCCCCCACCTCCGCAGCCCCCGGGGGGAGCGCCCCGAACACCCCCGGTGGCGCAGCGAGGGGACCCGCGACCCCGCGAGGGGGCTGGACCTGCACACACCCCCCATCCCMGCACCCCGGAACCTGCGGGRACAAYCGGGACCCGCATTCCCGCRGCGGGGACACGRTGGGGACACGGCGGGGACCGCGATTCCCTGCGCATCTCGGGGTCTGAGCGGCAGAGAGGGCCCTGCTCCCCTTCCCGCATCCCAAAATCCCGGACCCTGCACCCCAACACCGGGGACAGCGCTCCCCACGCACCCCAGCGCTGGGCTGGGGGACAGAGGTGTCCCCTACTGCATCGCGGGGACAGCCAGGACATCCCCGGGACCGCGCATCCCTCGGGGTCCGGCATCTCCCGGTTGAGGGGAGTCCCTTTGGTCCCAGCCAGGCCGGGGAACCCTCCTGGGAGCACCCCCAGGCCCTGYACCCCGGGATTGCGGCTCGCAGAGCAGCCACGGGCGGTGCCCAGGATGGCTCRGGGGGGGCGGGCAGGACCCTGCTCATGCCCCGGCCCCGGCCCGGAGGCTCCCGGACATTCCCAGAGCTGCAAATCCCGGCCCTACAGCGATGGCACCGAGCCCCGATCGGTGGCACTGCCCTCAATCCGCCTGTCACAGCCGCCAGCCCCGTGGTGGCACCCGGCCCGCACCCGCCTCGGGCTCAGACCCCGCGGGGACCGTCCTTGCTCGGCCTGGGGACAGCCAAGGCGCTCCCAGAAGGGAAAACCGGCGGCCGCCCTTGATCCCATAATCCCCCCATTAGCCGCGGGGCTTTAGGGCCKGGCAGGGGGGTGGCTTTCACTGGCTGAGCTGTCCCCTGTGTCCCCCACGGCCGGGGTGACACTGTTCCTCCCTGCCAGCCCACGGCGGGACCCCAAAATCGCAGCTGTGCCCTCCCCAAGGCCACTGTCCCCAGCCATTCCTGCTCTAAGGGGAATCCACAGGGTCTGCTCCACCTCCCGCTGCCCTCCTGACCCCCAGGAGATCCCAAAAACAGCCCGGGAGAAACTGGGGAGCTCTCAGGGGAGCCCTCCCAGCTTAATCAGGCAGGCTGAGCACCCCAGTTTGGAGTCCAGTAATTCCCTGTTCCCTTAACAATGCACAGGAACAAAATCACAGACCCTGCAGGGGGAGCTGGGGGTGGGATTGGGATGAAAAAATCCCTTTTAGGGGCGGCGCTTCCCATGGGAACACCCGGGTGGGGCACGGGGTGCTGCCYTCCTACACCCCGGAGCTTCCCTTCTCCACAGCCGGGCCCGGTGCCACCTCCGGGGGACAAAAGCCACCACTCGGTCCCCTGGGCTGTGGGTGGGGCCGCAGGACCGTGCCCCAGCCCTGGCCTGGTGGCTGCCACCTTCCAGTCCCGTCCCTGCT